TCTTTAATAACGGAACAATTAGATTAAGAGATGAAACAATTGTCAGAAAAAGGTTAATTCTATTCATCTCATATGTTTACAAGCCTTGTATGATATGGAGAGTTATATAGCCACGCTTCAGGTCCAATTTTATTTTTACTTTCAAGTTCTATACATATGGATCTTATTGCAGAGAAATAAAAAAAATCGCAGTTTTACGCTCCCCAAATTTGAAAATTTGAAAAAGATTATTTTTTATCCTCTCGTAATACACAATTTTTTTCACAACTAGAGAACCTAATCTAAACGAACAACCCCAACCATCGGATTTTTTTTATACTTTGTGGTCTTTTTGATAGTATCTGACTATCAAGAAAATTCTATCTGAGAAAATATATACAGATGATCCACCATAAATAGCGTCCCGAATTTACAACGTGGACAAACTTGCAAGACATTTCATTTCTTTGAAAACGAAGTCGTTTTGACTACGCAAATTATCAAAAAGTATGTAGCTGTTTCGTAGAGTTAAAGTACAATTACGGAAAAGCAATATTTAGCATGCAACAAATCTCAATTTTCAATAATAACGTCGCAAATGACAGTTTATTTGTAAAAAGCGGCGAAATCCGACATTGGACATCTTGCAAGACATTTGCCAGAAGCCGTTGCCTTTTTATATGTGGTGTGAGTGCTGCAAAAATTCGATTTTGATATGGTCTATATATGTACTTTTGTGAGCATAATTTACACAAACGAAATTTCATATAATCTTACATTTTGAAACCTATAAATTTTGATAACTTAAGATTTTCCTAAATCTGACCATAATGGACACTTTTTGTTTTTGCCAAAAAATAACGTTGGTTGTTACAGAAACGCATATTCAGTAATATTGTAATACTTTATATATAAAGCATATCATTCATTCGAATTTTCGCGGATATAACACTGTTTTGAAGAACACAAACACCCCTGCTAAAGTTATTATGCGTATAGTCTGTTACGTCTGACACGCATATTTTGGACGTTTTGTCAATATGTTGTCCTTATTTTAGACTATTGTAAAATATGATAAAACAGTTTGTAGTTTTTTTTCGGAATAGTTTTTACTAGTCTAGTCTATGGATAAAAAATTTATATAACTTCACTGTTATGATTTTATAGAAAAGCTGTTTATTAGTGTGGACTGGTTGATTACACGGTATTGACGCAATAACGTGCGTAACGTCTTTACATTTGTCATTTCGGGGCCTTTTATAGCTGACTATGCGTAATGGGATTTGCTCATTATTGAAGGCCGTATTGTTACCTATAGTTGTTAACTTCTATGTCATTTGGTCTCTGGTGGAGAGTTGTCTCATTTGCATTCATACCACATCTTCTTATTTTTATATTATTATACCTTCTGCTGTTCTGTCACATATTTTGTGTTTATATATGTATTAGTGATGTGGATGTAATTCAAATGTGCTCCTATAGTTTATACAGACTTTGGTAATAAAGATATAATTCTTAAATGCAAATTTACTACATATCAATGAAAAACCGACAATTTACATAACAAAAAGAAATTGTGATGTTCAGATTTTGGTTTTGATTGAACTGTATTGTTGATTTGCTGTCTCGTTGACATTTACCTCACTTCACCTTTAGCTTAATCCATTCAAAAAATGATTTTAATATAAGAGTTTATATCCAAGTATCGTTTTCGGTCATTATTTCTCGTTCATTTTAGAATTTCAAGATTTAAAAAGTTTATTTTCAGCTGATGAAGTCATTTTAACGCTTCAAATGTCAAAATGTCTAATTCAAAAGTTTTTTGCTTATTATTTTAAATTGGTCTAGTTATGCGTCTGTAATGTGTGATCAAGTGATGAAAGCTTTTAAGTTAAACATATCCACATTAAATGTGGCAAATGTTTTTTTTTTATATCAACTCAAAATTTGATTTTCAATGTCCTGAAATTTTGACTTTCGACGATTTTTTATGAATACAAATATCTTAAAACTATGAAGCTGGAAATTTGAAATACAGTTTAAACAATTTTCTTTACAGTTAAATTTCAATATTTTAAAGTCATTATCAAAGCATATTACTTTGTACTTTAAAGAGAAAAAAAATGAATTTCAAAGCATATAAAAAACTTTATTTTTTTTAGGTTTTCTTATGTCTAAATTTGAGTTACGTCAACTTTATGAATTCAGGAAATTCACAATTTTAAAAGTCAAGTAAAAAATTCTATAAAATTAGAAAAAAAATAGCCAGTGATCGAGATCAAGTAGGAGTTTAAACATTTTCAAAAAGTCAGATTCAACTTTGTTAAATAAGAAGTTAAATGCACAATTTCTCCATTATGCGTCCTGAGTCAACACCACTTTCAAATAATAGAATTATTATTCGGAAATGTTTGAGTGGTAGTTTCCACATTGAGAGACACAATAAGTGTTAATAATTGACCAATCCACGAGTCAGAAGTCAATCGTTTACTTGATCAATCATTTTCACCAGACTCTCAATAAGAATCGTCCCATTTTGATAATGTTGAAAATGAACAGCTTTAAATCTATGCAAAATTAAAATAATTTTATTTAAACAAAACAAAAGCCCTATTGCATGTTGAAACACATGCCTTTGAATTCCTCTTCATACGAATATAGATAATTTATGAAATCGAATTAAGGGCCAGTTTCCTAGCGTATGTATACATAACAGTATTAATTGAGATTAATTTGCAAGATATTAAAAACAAATAACAAAAATATCCTCTATGCAATTTTATTCATTTTTGTACTCAATACATAAATGTTACATGTATCTCTGGTCCTTTCTTCTTAATTTCAAAACAAATACTTTACATTTTGACTCTGAGGTATTTACATTTTCTGACTCACAAGACTTCAACCAAATAAACTGACCGTATGTATACTTTGAAAGATAATGGTATTTTTTTTCATTTACTACATACTACCTTAATAATATTGTTTTTCCCTTTTCATTTGTAATGCATTCAATAAAGAAATGAAACTAGTCTTCAACCTGCATATTACTACCTTTTGTCCTTATTGATTCTTTTATATCGATCTTTCTAAATCGTTATTTGATAAGGAATAATTATAAACTGATGCTTTTTATAGTGCACAATTCTACGAATCAGAATTTCTTGTTCAGTAAAAATGTTTGAAAAAAAATGATAACAATTTTATTATATACTTGCCTATGTAAAGTGAAACATATTTAAGTATGAATTACTAAATATCTAAAAACAATTGTAACGGTCCAAATAATTGGAATATTTCATGTTTTCGGACATGTGCAATACACGTTTATACATGAAATTTAGACAACTGTGACCCAAGTTTCAGTTGATATATGGGAAGATGTTCCGTTCTGAGTTTCATGTAAAGATTCTTGTATGTAAAACTATATACACTATGCACATGAAATTAAACTGCTGCTTGATAAGACTTCGGCTCCCTGACAATATTATCCTTTAATTGAATTACTTAGTCGTTCCTCTTCTAAAGATTCGGGAACAAAACTCAGGGGAAGCAACTCTCCAGTCTTCATCATTTTATAAGATAAATCTGGTTTTGTCATATAAACATCCCAGTCGGTTCCAAACTGGAAAAAAAGTAAAACTATGATAAAGGTAAGTGATCATATATTTAATATATATTGAGCAATTTAAAATATTTTCAACCTAAGCACAAACAAAAAGACATTCAGAGTGTCAACTGTGATATAGATATTCTCTAACGGCCGATCAAGTCGGAAGATGCATAAATAAACCGTCACTTCAGGTCGAAAACAGCTTTTCAACCGATTCGAGCTACTTTCTAGAACTACCTCAGCGATCGTACTCGTCCTGAATATTTCTGAAATATTTCAAACTGGATTTTTAAGCATAAATCAATCATCTGGAATTTCTCTCACTGGTATATACCCTTCCGTACTAATTTAATTCACCCCAGGTTTTTTGAAGGTTAATTTTTTCCTCGATCTTTTGTTTTCTGTGTAGTGTTGATGACTGACGTTTCATTTTTCATCTTTATTATTATGACCATGATGTGGCCTGTTTTTTGCGACTTATTGTTTTTGATAGCTTTACATAAGCGGCATAGTTCTGTCCCTTAATCAATGTTATTATCTTTAGTTTCTCTGAGTTTTAACTTTTAATTATATCAATATCTTACCTCTACTAAGAACTGTCTACAAGCTCCACACGGAACTATATGAGAATTTTTCAGGTCACTGAAAAAAAAAACATAAAACATTTTGTTCTCTGTTGAAAATATCAAACAGTGTTTTTGCCTTGGCAAGTGAAATATAAACTGAACCAAATTTCAAGGTGAGTTGAAAAGGAGAGGATTACATAATATCATATTCAAACTATGTATCATGTTTACTCTCTATTTTTATCGTACTCCCCAATTGTGTCACGATCTTTAGCAGTATAGGCTTATACACCTAGACGTGTTACATGGTTGTACTTGCCGTGAGCACACGAAGGAAGCCACTAGTAGAAACAGACTATCCTTCCGGAGCACACGAGTTCTACCAAGGTTTAGATGTGGTTCATGTTTCTCAATATTTAGTTTTCTGTGTGACTTTTTTTTATGCCCCGCCTACGATGGAAGGGGCATTATCTTTTCTGATATGTGGGTCCTTCCGTACGTCCGTCCGTTATCAGTTTAAAGGTTTTGGTTAAGATAGTTTACCATGAAGTTGTGATCACCTCAACTGAAAATTTAGTGCACATATTCATTACGATGTCAAATGTTTAAGTCATATTCAAAATTACAGTTTTGACCTCAATTTCATGGTTTGCTGAACACAGATTTGTGATATTGTGAAATCAGTACATTATCAGGGTAGTGTTTTGGTTTCAAGCAATCTATCATAAAGTCATGGTTACATCGACTTGAAACTCCGTACACATGTTGATAGTTATATGTTCTAACCGTTCACTTGACATTGAGATATTATATAAATGTGAGCTGAGTGTACTGATAAGTCGTTGAGAGATCAACAGTTTATTGGTATACAGACCCCCGGAGAGGGTGAAAAACTGAAAGTACAAAATAACAATCATAAGCATACTATTAAGGCAACACCTATACAATAAATGTCAAATAGTAGTACATTCACAAAGAAAATGGTTATACAGTTCAATACTCTTGTACACTACACTTCGAAATACAACATTTATATATCAGAAAAAGATTGCACACACATATCTAAATATGCAAGAAAATTGAAAGGTTGCATTTGTCATTGACTGTACTCTTCATACCACGCACGATATAAATTTTACACACGTTGAGACTGTGCGGGACTGTATTTCTAGAAAATTCGAGCGTGACCCTTGTCTACATCAATAAAACACAAAAATAAATCCTAACATGTGGGATTGACAAATAATGAATGGTATTTTAGGGGGAAATGCATACATAAAAAAATACAAACAGTACTGTATATTCAGCTCTGCTGCTAAGACTGCAGCACACAGTTCCAGACGGGGGATTGTGTGTCCGTGAGACGGGGCAACTTTGGCTTTCCCGAAAAGAAAGCTAATGTTAACAGTATTTGCACTATACAATTTAATATATGCAACAGCTGCGATTGCATCTTTAGAAGCGTCTGAGAATATGTGAACCTCCCGTTTAACACTATTGGCGAATGAAGGTCCATTGTACTTTCTAGATATACGCAAATTTTCAAGTTCGCTCAATGAATGTACCCACGATTCCCATTGCTGATTCAGTAATTCTGGAAGTGGATCATCCCAATCAATAGTAGATGAAGACGAGAGCATTTGACGCATGAGTAATTTGCCTCTAATGATAACTGGTGCAGCAGAGCCAATTGGGTCATACAGACTGTTGATTGTTGCTAGGACTCCGCGGCGTGTAAATGGCTTGATGTCGGAAGACACACTAAAGGTAAACTCGTCCAGTTCTGTGTCCCATGAGAGACCTAAGCTTCTCTGCATCGGGAGATCTGCCGATCCAAGGTCAAGGTCCTTGAGATTTTTGGCAAGGTCATCTGAATGAAATGCTTCTAGCACTAACCTGCTGTTAGATGCAACTTTATGCAATCTAAGTCTACCGTTTTCGTATAAAGTTTTCTTAGTTCTTTGAACAAGATCAATAACTCCCTCTGGAGTTGCACAAGAGGTAAGTCCATCATCTACGTAAAAGTCGTTGCTAACAAAGTCTTTCACATCAAGTTCAGCGCGTTGGACAGTTCGTCTCAGACCATACGTAGCCACTGCTGGGGACGGACTGTTTCCAAAGACGTGTACTAACATCTGATATTCTGTAAGTGGTTTTTTAAATAGTTGTCCTTGTGCCACAGGAAGCGCAAGAAACGTCTATGTTCATCTATGACTCTGAAGCTATGAAACATTTGTTCGATATCAACGGTAACGGCGTAAGCCTCTTTCCTAAAACGGAGTAATATTCCAAGAAGGCTGTTATAAATGTCTGGACCTTTCAACAAGACGTCGTTCAAAGATAGTCCATGATGTTTTGCAGAAGAGTCGAAAACTACTCTTACACTCTCTGGTTTCCTCGGATGATACACTGCGAACATAGGCAAGTACCAGCACTCAGTACCTGGCGATAGTTTGGGTGCTATCTGGGCATGTTCTCGATCAAACAGTTTCTGCATAAAATCTAACACTTGTGTGCGCTTTACGGAGTTGCAACGTAAATTCATATCAAACGATTTAGCTTTACGCTCTGCAATTTGTTTGTTGTTTTCTAAAGAAGGTTTGTTGGGTTTAAATGGTAGTGGAGCGATCCAGTGTCCATCATCTTGTTTGGAGAATCCCGATGACATTATATTCAAAAAGGTTTGATCCTCTATTGACACACCTTGATTTTCGTCTAGTTTAGTCTTGTCGAAGATTGGGTCTAATTTAACTGACATCTCACTATCACACGGAGACAATAAAGTAGGTCGTCCGTTGCCTAAGATTACAGTTTTGTTTACATTAACTACTTTTTGTCCATGAAACCTACCAAGACATACATTGCCTACAATAACCCATCCTAAAGGTAAACGCTGTGCATACGGTACTTCGTCAGCTCCTACACGGTGTTCAATAACATGGTGTGCTCTAATAAGGTCACGGCCTATTAACATCTGTATTTCAGACTGGTTGTCAATGTCAGGAACACAACTTGCTATGTCCATCATGTGCGGATAACTTGAAGCTACAACAGATGAGGGTATTTCCTCCCGATTGTTTGGAATGTCATTACATTCGATTATTTCAGGTACGTTAAGACAGGATGATCCGTCAAGCGACGCTAACACGTATCCGGAAGCTCTTCGTCCACTAGTAACGAACCTTCCTGCACAAGAAGCAAGTACATATTCGGTTTCAGTGTCGTTTTCTCCGAAGAAGTTGAAGAAATCTGACGTTGCTAAAGTCCTGTTACTTTGGTCATCGATCACACAGTAAACAGTTTTGAGATGATCTGGTCTATCAGAGTGATATACTTTGGCGAGTACTATCTTTAAGTTAGCACATGATTTACTGGTATTGTGTATCGAGTCACATATTTTGGTGCATTTGCTGCTAATCTGTTCCTTAGAATTCTCCTCCTCGTGCTTTTTCTGGGGTTCGGCTGTAATATCTACATGTAACACTGACGGATGGTCACGAGAACCACACACACCGCATTTGACATCCTCTTTACATTTGTCACGGAAATGTCTCTTAGGTCCGCAACACTTGAAACACAAACCTTTCTGCTTAATTAAATCAAGTCTCTCTGACAATGGTTTAGAACGGAAACCACGGCACGTGTTAAGTGTATGATTAGTTCCATGGAGGGGTCACAAGTCCTCATTTTGCTTCTGAATAGGTGGTCTATTAATACTGTGTCCAATGTCGGTTTTAATGCTTGAAACTTGCGCAGGACTTCGAAAACGATTTTGTACTCTCGTTTGTTTAGATGTGGTCGGTTTGGTGTCTTGATTGTCATATAAAAATCCAGGGTCATTAAGCACTTTAGCAATGTTTTGCAAAAACGGCACAAAGAAGGAGAATGGCGGATATGCTCCATGGTTTTTTGACTTATAACCATTGGCAGTAGTAGTCCATTTTTCTTGAATACTGTAAGGAAATCTGGTTACAAAACGATTCACACCTAGAGACGAATCAAAGTAAGCGATGTGGTGGCAAACTTTTCATCTTTGCGAATAGACTCGATCTCAGCAGCTAAGTCCGCTAACTCGAAGAGCTCCTTTCGGTTATTGTTTGAAAGTTTCGGGAAGTTAACTATACGTGAGTGAAGTGACGACTCGATCATCTCTGGACTACCGAATCTAGCATCTATGCGTTCCCATATAAGCCGCACTGCAGTAGCCGGATTATTGGCATTAGCACATCTAATGTTCTGAGCATGCTGTTTTGAGCTTGGTCCCAAATACTTCATTAGAAGGTCCAACTGTTCCAAAGGATTAGTATCTAACTCGGTCATTATGTGTTGAAAACTAATTTTCCAAGATGAGTAATGTGAAGGTTGGTCATCAAATGATATGAGCCTAGATGTAATCAAGTCTTTCTTTACCATAAACTTGGCCAATTCTTGTGCTTCGTTCCTCTGGGTCGGAACAAAAAGTCGTGCTGTCGGATTCAATGGTCCTAAAGAATGAACAGGAATGTTAACACTGTTTGCTTGAAGGTCATTTTTGGTCAAATGAGAAGCATGCTGTGAGCGCTGTTGCTCCACAAATTCTGCTGTACGTCGTTCTGTAATGTTATGTGTATCTGGTACTTTAGAACTACGGTACTTTCTTTCAGATATCCTGTCCACATCAGCATGCTGAACTACCGGATTAGCAATTATTGGTGGTTCATAACTTTCACCATAGTCATTAGGATCATAATTCAAAGCCTTCTTAACGGCTTGCAATCCCGACTCAGCTTCGTCGACTTCTCGCTTCATAGAGAGGACGTTTCTCTCTGCTTTGAGTGTAGCTTCACGATGCAACAGTTCTGCCTCCTCTGTGGCATATTTAAGTTGTGTCCTTGCGGTTTCCAGTTTCACAGTTTGTTTAAGAATCTCTGATTGAGCATTAAGTGACGAGTTTCTTGTTGACCAAGTATGACGGGAACTATGATGGGAGCTACGACTTTTAAGAGTTCGTTCACTATCTTGGTTGGAACTTCTAGGTAGCAATTCACTAAGATGTTGTTTGACGTCGGATATTTTGGCCTTTAACGCATAGAATGACACTTTAAATGATGCATGCTCGATTTCACTTTCTTTTGTCCTATATGATTTTAAGAAATCAAAACATGTGTTAGCTACTTTTTCAAACTTTTCTGATAGTTTTGAAATTTCATCTCTGTACGTCGACGCTGTGGAGAGGTCCACCACTGGATTATCTTCTACGTCTAGTATAATAGCGTCGATATCTCTCTTAATAGTTCTAATATTGTATTGATGTCGTTCATTAGACTGTTGGAAAAGGTGATCTCCATCAGATGTAAGTGTTCTAGAAACGGATTCTGACTGTGACATGTTGAATCTATCTTGGGTTTATCTCTATAATGTAGATTTTTCACTGTACTGATAAGTCGTTGAGAGATCAACAGTTTATTGGTATACAGACCCCCGGAGAGGGTGAAAAACTGAAAGTACAAAATAACAATCATAAGCATACTATTAAGGCAACACCTATACAATAAATGTCAAATAGTAGTACATTCACAAAGGAAATGGTTATACAGTTCAATACTCTTGTACACTACACTTCGAAATACAACATTAATATATCAGAAAAAGATTGCACACACGTATCTAAATATGCAAGAAAATTGAAAGGTTGCATTTGTCATTGACTGTACTCTTCATACCACGCACGATATAAATTTTACACACGTTGAGACTGTGCGGGACTGTATTTCTAGAAAATTCGAGCGTGACCCTTGACTACATCAATAAAACACAAAAATAAATCCTAACATGTGGGATTAACAAATAATGAATGGTATTTAAGGGGGAAATGCATACATAAAAAATACAAACAGTACTGTATATTCACAGCGGCAATATTTACTCATGTCGTGTGTAAATGAACACCAATAATCAAATATGAAGTTGCATAAAATGTATAATTAAACAATATGCACAACGATATAAAAAATGAGCACAAATATAAAAGGTTAACTTACTCTAGTGGTGGATAAAACTTCCAAGTAGAAAAACAACGTGTTTCAGTTTTGACAATAATCGAGGGATTGATGAGAAAGGGGAATGAAATTATAAGAAAGGGACGACATGGTCAATTCGGCACTTAATCAAAACAGTACACTCCTCCTCTGATTTCGTTATGAAATCACTACATTTTCAAAATTAAAAGATAATGTCATATGACAAATTAACATGTGTTTCCCTAACAATGTTATACTAATTGTTCGTGTATTAAATGTGATTGAATAAAACACAATGTCACTATTATAGTCAGTCAGCTTCAAGGAGAGTAACCAATTCGGTAATTGGTCTGGAATAAGTTGTGCGCTTTCCGTCTTTGACGATGGCGACTTCCACTTTACGAATTTTGCCATCCGAGCTAGGAAATATCCTGTCCACAAGTCCTACGGGCCATGAATTACGTGGCGCATCCTGATCTTTCATGAGAATTAAGTCACCAACTTGTAGATTACGACGGTCAGTTTGCCACTTTGTACGAATCTGAAGTTCATGAAGATATTCGGATTTCCATCTACGCCAAAACTCTTCTGCTAATCCTTGTGCACATTTCCATTGAGCTTTCAACATATCCTTTGGACCGAATAAAGGAAACGGTTTCACGTCTGGTGAAGTTTTCATCGAAAGAAGTGACGACGGACTCAAAATACTGGGACACTCTGGATCAGTCGAAACTGGTAGTAATGGTCTATTGTTTATGATGGCCATAACTTCAGCCATGAGAGTAACAAGCACTTCGTGTGTAATTGTCCTACTTTTGTTTTTCAATAACAAGCTGTCGAGTATCCGACGAGAAACACCGATTGGTCTCTCCCATGAGCCGCCCATATGATGTGCATATGGTGGATTGAATTTCCAGGTAGTTCCGGATTTCAGTAAGAATTTCTTGATTGGTCCTTTTTCGACAAATTCAGGGTCAATATTGAGCTCTGATGTTGCTCCAATGAAATTAGTTCCTCGATCAGAACGAAATTGTATGATAGGACCTCTAACTGCAATTACGCGTCTCATAGCGTTGATGAAAGACGAGGTTGACATGTCTTCTATCACTTCGATATGCACAGCGCGTGTGGTCATGCATGTAAACAGTAACGCCCAACGTTTCTGGTTGGCTGAGCCTCCTCTAGTTTTACGAAATACGACGGACCATGGACCGAATGTGTCCACGCCGACATAAGAAAATGGTGGACATGGGCTAAGTCGATCTGTTGGGAGATAGGACATGGTAAATTCGGCACTTAATCAAAACAGTACACTGAGTATGTCTTATGGATACATATCTTGTTTCGTCTCACTTAAAAGAAAGATGGATTGGCGAATTGACGGATTAACTGAATGAAGGATTGAAATGAATAAACAAGATATGTAGATGATACAGCAACAAAAATATTAACATAAAAACTAGATATTATGCGATCTTCAACAATAGACATATGTCTATGCAACACGTATATCTCTAAATCGCCCAATATAGAAAAGTATTGGATACACTAAAATTAAAAAAATACTATCAAAAATCTATAATTAACGCCAAATCCCAAAATGACAAAAAACACATATTACGATAAGAAAAGCGGCACCTGACTTGAGACAGGCACTGAACATGTAGCGAGTTTAATTTAGATCTCAATCAATCCACTTTTAATTCCGATCATTTAAAACTAACCAAAGACGCATAAAAGAACGAATTCACCAACATTCCAACTGACTTCATTTTCAGAAATCGATATATGTAACAAACATAAACTATTAGCTGCTTCTTTACAAGCAGAACCAAATACAATGAAAGTCCCAACTATGTACTGGCTTCCGAAGCTACACAAATCACCTTACAAATATAGATTTATTTCGTCAAATTATTTACGAAAATTTAACAATACTTTTAGATATTTGGATGATATATTGGCTCTCAATAATGACGACTTCAGTATGTATACTAAAGAAATTTATCCTGTTGAACTTACTTTAAATAAAGCTAATACTAACAATGACCACTGTCCTTTCCTCGATCTTGATATCTATATCATTAACGGAAAGCTTAATACAAAAATTTATGATAAAAGAGATGATTTTTCATTTCCTATCGTTAATTATCCATTTTTAGATGGTGACGTTCCCTTGTCACCATCTTATGGTGTTTATATATCTTAACTTGTACGATTCGCTCGTGTATGTAACAACGTATTAGATTTTATCGAGAGAAATGTATGTATTACTGAAAAATTATTACACCAAGGTTTTCGATATCATAAACTTGTCAAAACATTTACTAAATTTTATCATCGGTATAAGGACATCATTCGTAAATATAACTCAACATGCAGACATCTTATACGTTCGGGTATTTCACATCCAATCTTGTATGGTAATATTCTTTACAAAGCACAAAAATGTCAGTATTCACCTCAAAAGCTAACAAAACCTTTAAACAGACTTATTAAGAAGGGATATAGTTACGATACTATTGTCAGGTCATTAAAGATTGCATATTTTGGCTTTAATATTGATTCACTTATAGGGTCTTTGTATATTTTATGACGGTATAATACTAAACCCCTAACAGGAGGGATTGTGCCTGATATTCATATGATGAAGACATAATCTTTCAATCAGTTTAATTGAGGTCTGGAGCTGGCATGTCAGTAACTGCTAGTAGTCTGTTGTTATTTATGTATTATTGTCATTTTGTTTATTTTCTTTTGTTTCCTATTCTGACATCGGACTCTGACTTCTCTTATACTGAGTTTTACTGTGCGTACTGTTGTGCGTTTGTTTTTTTTCTACATTGGCTAGAGGTATAGGGGGAGGGTTGAGATCTCAAAAAACATGTTTAACCCCGCCGCATTTTTGCGCCTGTCCCAAGTCAGGAGCCTCTGGCCTTTGTTAGTCTTGTATCATTTTTAATTTTAGTTTCCGGTGTATAATTTGGAGTTTAGTATGACGTCCATTATCACTGAACTAGTATACATATTTGGTTAGGGGCCAGCTGAAGGACGCCTCCGGGTGCGGGAGTTTCTCGCTGCATTGAAGACCCATTGGTGGCCTTCGGCTGTTGTCTGCTCTATGGTCGGGTTGTTGTCTCTTTGACACATTCCCCATTTCCATTCTCAATTCTATACAATGTTAAAATAAGCACAGTAAAATCACTTTTTTCTAAATAAAGGGTATAATAGATAACAAAAAAAGTACTTTATGTATCTCTAAAAAATGTACATTTCAAATAAATTCTTTTCTTCTTAATAAGGATATTTTTAATTCTGTAAATGGTCATTAAATGTATAACTTTGGGAACAATCACACTAATATCGATAACAAATACATCGAAAATGGTACCATCACGATGCTAGACTTTAGATCGACAACATTTTTTGGTGTTTGGTGGATTGATATCGCAGCAAACGGTTGGTATTCCATTGAGTACTAATCGTGCACCACTACTGATTGACTTGTTTTTGTACTCATATGAAGCAGAATTAAAAAAAAATTATATGCAAAAAAAAAAAACAACAAAAAACAAACAAAAAACAAACAAAACTGACACAAGTACACAAAAATAGACATAACAAACAGTTATACCGTAACAAAGAACAAGCTCAAAATACTTACTTATTAAATCATCCGATTGATAATTTATTGATGAATGAATGATTTGATTGCTTACCTTGAGATAGCTATGGCTTTAAATTTTCTATACCCCTCCGATACAGCTTTAACAATGGCAGTTCTTTCGGCACATATAGACAGTCCGTATGAAGCATTCTCTACGTTACAACCTGTGAAAATCAACATATGATCATGTTTAAATTCTGGTATAGTTTAATGTTAATGTTCAAAAAACATATCGTTAATACATTATGGACCAAGCAATTTGTGTTTTTTTTTTTGTCTTTTTATTTAAAAAAAACCCTCCAAGATCTCTGCTTTTGCTCAGTTCTCACTTTAAATATCATTGAATCGTTGGAGTAAAGATCGGTTTGTACGGGAAATTTGCCACCAGAGCAAAGTAAAAACAGCCGATTCTGGAAATTAACTTGAAATAATTGTACCTGTAGTACACTTGGCTATTTACATATAAAATGCCATATGACAGTGCAGTTGAAGATTGTTTAGAAGTAACCATGGCAAAATATTCTACTACAATCGAAAAGAAAAAAAATACTCTTACTGCAAAATTTACATTTTTATTTTTCGCCCACTCAATGATAATGCTAATGGACATAACTAATACCTATGTGAATTAGCGATCAGGGCATACTTCCCAGAAATCCATCTGTAATCATTTACCTTTCATTGCTCATATAGTGTAGCAGCTTCTACTTTAAATTTATCTGCAAAAACTACAATCAGCACAATGCCAGCTTTTTTCTACTTTAAATTCATCTGTAATAACTACATGGGGGTGTTTATAACGACATTGACTACCTACGAGGATCTAGCGCGGTCGGCTAACTGCATATAATCAGATCAATGCAAGGCTGGTGCTATTTCTACTTTTTTACCCGTAGTTTTTTTAACATTAATTTTACCCGTAAAATAACTGTACAATCAGCACAATACAAAGCTATTTCTTTTCTAAATATACCTGTCAATGAATAACAGTTCAATCTGTAGAATGTAAGGCTGTTTGTATCTTAAATTTACTTGTTATAACTGTACAATCAGCACACTACAATACTGTTTCTTTATTAAATTTAGGTGTTATAACTGTACAATCAGCACACTACAATACTGTTTCTATATTAAATGTAGGTGTTATAACTGTACAATCAGCACACTACAATGCTGTTTCTACATTAAATTTAGGTGTTATAACTGTACAATCAGCACACAGAAAGGCTACTCCTACTTTAAATTTACCTGTAATAACTGTACCATCAGCACACAATAAGGCTGCTCCTACTGGAAATTTACTGTACGGCATATATGCAGCCTTCTTCGCATCACGACTTGCCTTTAACAACTTGTAAATAGCGTCTAAAAAATAAACTTTCTGTTTAAATTTCAAGATATTTCACTTCTTCCGCCATATATCATATATATAGAGATGTCGAGTACACGGCAATAGAACAATTCAAAGACACAAAAAGTAGAAAAAAAAACAAACTATGCCGCTTATTTCGTGATGATTAATATAAAATAGAATATTTTATTGTTTTCGATATTTATTTAAATTCAACGTCCATTTAATACAATTGGATACGGTTTTAACTTTTAGGCAATATCATCTCGGTCTGCAACCCTCTGTCACGGAATAGAAGTTCCTTCATAATATAAGTTCCAAATGGAAACTGGTAGATATTTGTCAAAACATATGATACCCATTTTTTTCTTGGATGGGTTCTTCCTAGATGAAAAGAACAACTAGATGGAGTTTTATAACATGGGACATGATAACATGGATGAGAGGAGCCGTTTTACTATTTTCTTGTGATAAATCGTTATAGGAGACCCAGAATGTGCGACATCCAATTTGTTATTTTCTATATTGATTAATTGTATGCCATATGTTACCAGACAAACATGCATGAATAAATTCACATTCTTGTCATTCATATATGGATATTGTTTAACGAAGAAAATATAAACAACTTTCAGAAAATGTAAACATTTTTAGAAAATTTAACTGCATCTACATGCAAAATGTCAGTGCATACATATTATTACAACACACGTTAGCAAATGTAAAATAAACACGATTCGATCAGATATCAAGTCAATTCCAATAAAATAAAATTATACTAAAACATTGTATTACTTCTAAATCGTAAGTTATCAATGAAACAATGAAATCAATTATATAATAAATAGATCGCATTTAATCACTAAGGATAATCAAGTTTACATGTTCTTGTATATATTGATTTTCTTATGACTTTGGACTGTTTCTCGAGTAACGTCAGTACTTTACAATCTAATTCGATGTTTATTTATTTATTTATTCATCATTTTAGTATGTTAGAAGGTCACTCCTTTTTTTACAACAACAAGGGATTAACAATTTATGTAAAAACAATATAAATATCCTGTATGCACATCCCTAATGATCATCCCAAATACAATTCGCAATAAACCGGATCACAGCAAATACAACTACTTTAAATTATTATTGATATGTTGCAATACACATTCCTAGAAATAATCGATAGTAAATATTCAATAATTCTGTTACATATGATTAAATGTATAAAGTCAACACAAACACAGAATATTGATATTGCCGTTTTTATAAAGGTCCGTGCTTAGTGTCCCCCCCCCCCCCCATTTAACGGTCCGTGTTTAACGTTCTTTCTCACATGAATACTAGATGGTGGTTTGATGTAATCGAGAGTTCGACGAAAGGGGTCGTAATAAAAAGTCCGTAATGGTAAAAGTTGCCTAAACATAACCATGCCACTCCCTTATTAGAAGCCGCTTCTACGGGTCATCTTACGTTCATGCATGAACTTTTTTCAATTGCACTGTTTCTATCTTTTTTTAAATATACCTTGGCCGTGTTGTTATCGGTTTTGCGGTATCCTGTATCTATGGTTCATGAGAGTCTGGATGAGGGTCTTTCATTTCTGTATTCTTTAATTTTTGGGCATTATTCTCTATTCATTATGTTTCCATTCTTTGTATTTTAGCACCACTTTATTCTTTCTTCTATATTTTTTTTTGCCTATTTTTCTCCATTCTTTATTTGTTTTGGTTCGATTATAGTGTATTTAGTATATTTTTTCCCATTATTCTCTAGGCTGTGAACCCCATCCAAACCCTCGTGTATTTCATATCCTGATATTTCTATCATATTCTTTTTATACTATAATTATATAATTAACTGTCTAGGTGGATTCTCTCTGCGTGTTTATTAATGAAAACAAGCACGTTGTGTTTAGATATTATTACAGGTGTATAGAAACATGAAACATGTTCATGTATATATGAGGAGTAGCCTAGCACAACCTTGTATTAGGATGCACAACATGCACAATAAACATTTACAGCTATATACATTTGTTTTAGAGTTCAGTCATCTTCCTTAGACATTTAAAAATCTCGACACTTTTCTTTTCGCAATATGTAAATTTCAAACTCCTAATTTTAGCTTCTTTTTTTTTAACTTGACTCAAAAATAACGTGTCTTCGAAAATTTAGTTAAATTCACTACATGTACATTTAAAAAATAGCAAGTATTACACTTTTTAACCAAATAAAGGAACTGTTCCACATAAAGCCGTGATAAATCAGTCCTGTTTTTTTACCAAACTAGTACATTCATTGATGCAACTTGTTTGAAATCACTATTTCATTTTACACTAACGAACGCGGTGTGTAGTGGGTATACAATAGACAACATTTTGTTAGACGTGTTAGGAAAGGGGTTTAAATACTGCGCTGATGTTAAATACCAATACCGATACAAGATCTAAGTGTGGACTTTCTCAAAATGCAATTGCAAAAGTATCCCGGCGAAGTATAATAGTTTACCTTTGTGGTGTGTTTGATACAACATGAAGCAAACAGTTAACGTCGACTCCAAATTTTAAGACGTGCATTGGCCTTACGTAGATCTTCATACATTCATACATTAATTTGTATTTGTTTGATTTAAGAGTGCAAAACAAAACTTAACAAAAATATATATAAGAGTCAAGAATTGGAATGACGGATTTTACGGCCACAAGTCCAAATATATATATTAAGCGATATGATTAGAATATGTTTAATAATTAAATAACTCAGTTTGTCTCTTCACAATAGATATGTCCTATTTCCGTTGCAAAATATAGATAGCATGCATTTTGTGTCCAGGGATACACTGACGCGTATACATGTGTGGCTTAAAAAATCAGTACTAATCTGAACACATCGTTTTATCTTTATATAAAAAAAGGAAATAAAAAGTGGACACAAGTGGATACAGTGCTATTTCTATATAAAACTTTAAGAAGCAGGGGGGCTATTGAAGAAGGTTGTCTTGCTGCGCATCGTTTTAATGTTAAAAAAATCCACTTTTCATGAGCTATATGTGATTCGTATTGTCTACTTCTATCTGGGTATGAATGCAATGAATGGACAGATGGACGAAAGAACGGACGGATGGACCAATTCACCCATCACTATATACCGTCCAATTTAGAAAGCGGAGTGTATAGTGAATCTAAGGCAAAACAAAATGAAGCAAATTTAGCAGACTTTGTTTTGAAAGAGGTGAAAATGAATATTCCATTTTCAAAATAACCTCCTGAACCAAAGATACTAACATTAACTTCTCCATATGAAAGTTTAACGACACTTTCAATAATATCTCAATTTAATCGTGGTGTTCTGTTTTGTTGGTGGAGGAAGCCGTGGTAACAAGAAAAAAAACCAACTTCCGACCCTTCACCGAAACGTCAATTTAACATGCTTGATAATGTCCAAACGTTGTAATCTTTTAAAACTTAATTCGATAACCTCTCTTTTCCGAAAAACTAACTGATTAAAGTTGATAGAAGGAAAATGTCAGGGCAAAATT